CCTCGGAAAACTGCAAACTTCCCAATTTTTTCAGAAGATTAAAATGTTTCTGATATTTGGTAATCTTGGATTGTTTACAAGAATGAAGACATACTGAACGCCGTAATATTTCTGCAACAAAATGTTCACATATCTATCTAATCTGTAATATTTTCTGGTAAAATTGGGTTATCTACTGAGCAATGGATATGTCTACTTAACTAGAGATTGAGGTAAGATATCAAACACGAAGTAATGCTAGATTTCTTATTAACTGAGTCTTGATGTTAAATGGAATAGTGAGACTATATACAAATAAAATACAAAATAAACAACCTTTATTGCAACTCTAAAAACAGTGTGTGTAGTTACTTCTACTTACATTGAACTGTCACTATTGCTAGATTCTCCAGCTGCTACCCCTTCAAGGTCCTCTTTAATAGTGTCTAAATCTAATGTTCCTATTTTGCAAGAAATATCGTATTTACCCAGAGCGACTGACAATTTTCATGCCAACATAGGTAAGGCCGTAACCTATAGATATCACCTAAACAACCACTGAAGGACACTGCTATCGAACACTTTGCCCAACGTGCAGTATTGCAGTAATCTCTCACTCTTGGGTAGAACAGGTATTATCTACTAGAGAACAACAAAGTAACAAAGGTAAGTAGAAGAAATTAACTTAACGGTTTTCTCGACCACATGTACCTACCTATATACAGAACAAAGAATAAATTCAGAATAAATACTATAATATTACAAGAAAATGGAAACGCATAGTATATTCATATACCACACTGTTACCATAAAATATTTTTTACAGATTGATATTTTAATTTTGAAATATTTATTTCGAATAGTTTAAAAATAACTCATTTTTCATTGTAATCTACACGACTTTTCAATTATGCAGTTACGTGATGTACTATGAAAATGAATTGATTAAAATCAAAGAGGTGTTACAGAAGAACAGTTTTCTGTTGAAAGTTGTAAACAGTGTAATAAGGAAGTACAGCGAGAAAAACGACATTGCCAGTAGTGCCATTTATAACGCCTGTTTAGACACACTAAACACTAGGAGCTTAAAGAAAAGAGTTGTTGTATATTAAGCACAAAGCTACATAAAGGGCTATCTGTGGACTGCCCACCACGGGTATCCAAACCCAGTTTCTAGTGGTATAAATCCGCACACATACCGCTGTGCCACTGGGGGAATAAAGAAAAGAGAATAATTTTCAAACTATAACTAAGAATTCTTAGCTTCTACGGGATTCATGTTCTAAAATAATCGTATATTATCTCATGATATTCCAAAGCACGCAGAATGAACAAAAAAAGTTAGCATCAGAAAAGAAACTCAGTAACCAGAGCGCATTCGGAAAGAGGACTTTCCTTCATCAAGGGAAATGGAAAAAATAAAAGATCCACTTTTCGAAAGGTCACTTCCGATCAAGAAATTTTTATTTATTAAATTACTTCAACACAGATCAGTATATTTCGCCGTTATTGCTGAACATATGAGTCGTTATCGTTAAGTTGAGAGCTTCAACTCAGTTTCAGAGTCATACCAAATATATATGTATATATACACAGTAGAGTTTAGGTTATTAATACTGGCTTCTATTAATAAAAACAAACAATTTACATCCCATGCTTGTACATCATATGATATGTCACTTAGTACATCCTCACACACACTGCTTCAGAGATTTATAAGAAATGTCACAGTAAAAGATGGTAACTAAAAAGTAAGAAGAACTTTGTTAGCATGCATTTTGGATAAGGATGTGTATGGAGAAAATAAGGTTATTTCTAAAAAAATACAAAGGATTAATTGCATTTTGAAAGAACAACCTGCATATACTGTCACAGATCTAAGCCTTGGAACCAAGAGCTGCATATCTAACACCAAAGTAATATCTATTCTAATATATGTTCTTCAACATTTAAGATGCAGTGCATCGGTATTAGCTTATGGCTGGAAGAATGTGACACAGCTTTTAGAAGAAAAAAGTCCGTATAATCTACAGCCATGAGACATGACATTTCAAAGAAGAGTTTAATGTTCACTCTAACAACAGATGAACTTCCACAACAAAGCTTTTGTGACAACAACGGGCTCCGAAACCACACCTAAAGCCAATCCAGAGCAATCCCTTCTTCGATGTAAATTTGATTTGCATCTTTTACATTCGAACTTTAAAAAATCTATCTGAAAATTTCTTGTGTAAATTCAATTCAAATCGTCTTCAACTACTGATAAAAATCGCTTAAAGATAAAAAACACAAGTTGGGCGATTTTGAACCTGCAATTCTGCTTAATGTGCAGTTTCTTTAATAAGCTGCGTTGCCGCATTTTAACAAACGCTTCATTAAAGTTTAAAGACAAAACACATCAGGAATATCCTTAAGTGATTGTATACTTCCTACAAATACTTCTGTTTATGTTGATCTAAGTATATATCATATGCGTCAAGTAGAAAAAATATAAATGTAATGTGTTATAAAGTTGTTTTTTATCCATTCGTGATTACTAAATACTAAATGATTTTTTTTTATTGTGTTTTAACGTAAAACTACACAATAAACTAACTATGATGTATTCACCGCGGGGAATCGAACCCCGAATTTTAGCGGGGACTTACTGAATTATATGTGCTTGAAAAAAAGGGACATAAATTATATATCTAACATTTTTTGCTGGTGTTTGATAGCAACAAGTAGAACAAATAAAATTAAACTTAGAAATTCTAGATGTTAATTATGGAAGTTCTCCTTTCTAAAATCCTTTAGATTATTAAGGTTTGCTAAAATTATAAATAAAATATAGGTTTAGTTTTAAATTTCGCTACTCGAGGGCTATCTGCTGTAGTCTTCCCTAACTTCACGGTCAAAGACTAGAGGGACTGAAGCTAGTCATCATCACCCACCGCCTACTCTTTTACCAACGAATAGTGGGATCAACCGTCATATTATAATGCCCCCACCGCTGAAAGGAAGAGTATGTTTGATGGTACAGGAATTCGAACCCGCGACCGGCAGATTACTAGTCGAGCACTCTAACCACCTGGCCATGCCAGGCCAGCTAAAAAGTAATTGTGTTGTGATCCGATCAGTAATACAATTCACAAAATAAGTACGTAATAGTTATTTTATGCATAGAGGTTTGTGAAATGATAGCCATCCGTTTCGATGTTTAAAAAAACCTTGTAAACTATTATTACTTTTTTTGTGAAAATTACTGGATTTTATTTGATATAAAACACAGAATGTGAAAATGTAATATGACAATGTTTTTGAATACTAAATCACATTAGTGCGAACAATTAGCATTCTACGAAAGCATTTTTCTATCACTATGCATAGCATTTTATATTAATAAAAGGTAAATCCCTTTTTCAAAAATTACATTAGTGCTTTGTTAAATTATCTAGACATTAGAACTAAAATAAAATCTGCGTTTGTGAAATTTTCAAATTACATTCTATGTTGAACTTGAGAAACATTTACTGCTTAAAATAACCAAAATCTCGTTCTATGTGGAGTAGTAGTAGGTTGTTACATATTTTCAAGTAGTATAACTCGTATAGGTATAAATATATCTTTCAATTATAACAAAATATTGTTTTTCTAACAAACGCATATCACTGGTAAAAATTTACTTTCTGATATAATATTTGAGCTCTAAGTAGTTTAGCGCTTACATTGCCATCTATACGAACAACGAGATAAAACTAAAAAGTTGCTTCCAGTAATGACATTCATTCAAAGCAGAATGAAAATTTATTTAAATGCGATTAACTAAATACGGGTTAGAGCCGTAGAAAGCGGTAGGGTCAGTCAGGCCATGGACTGACTACTTTTCATGGCATGTATAGCTATAAGTTATGTATTAAAACTTACTTCTTTTAATTCCATACATTAAACTGTGTGTATGCAGTATCCGACCCAGCTTGCCCAGGTGGTTAAGCGCTCGACTCGCAATCTGAGGGTCGCGGGTTCGAACCCCCGTGACAGCGAATACGCTCGTCCTTTCAAAGAGGGAAGGCTGTCAAGTGGGTTGCATCCTTGACGTAAGAAACAGCTTTAGAAACGAAGGCAGAGCAAGATCTGCCATCGGCTCAACGGTCCGCAAGGACTATGGGAAACAAAAAAAAATGCGGTATCTGCAGTTAAAATAGATCAAAATTCAATCTCATACCATTAAATTTTTAAAAAAGTTCGAGGGTTGGGTATGCCCCAGAACCCCCTAGAAATGGCAATGTGACAATGGCCTGACGACTCCAAAATTGCTTTCTACGACAATTTTTTGCTAAGCATATTTCACATAGTGTTTCTAAAAACGGATAAATTATGATACTTTATTGCTGCTTTTGCTTGAATATTGTAAGGTTCCTATTCGTCCTTTTTTGTAACGTTTATGTGTTTGTTTTAACATAAAGTTACACAATGGACTCCTTGTGCTGTGTTTGCCGCAAGTATTGAACACTGGATTTTAGCCCAGTGGGAGAATCGAACTGCGGATTTTAATACTTAGGAAAGTTCTAACTTCCACAACTAACTGACCTGAAACAGAATTGCCAAGAAGTACCGGCAAAAGTACATTATCGAGCTAGAGATATTTTTTCAACATGTTTTCGTAGCGTATATTATCTACAAGACCTGTTTGTTTTAGTCAACAGTTTTGAATATTGAATGGTGATGATTTTTACCTTTTCTCATATGGTTTTAATTAATCTAGTTACTCGTGTATATTGTGTTGAGAATTTGTTTCTGTCCAGTTAACTCCTATGCAAAATAATTAAATTTATTACTCCAAATTCCTGCGATAAACATTATCAATTACATAAATACATTTTTTTTTTTTTTTTTTTTTTTTTGTTTTACGTGATCTTTGGTGAATTTTTTCTTCAATGAATTAATGGTGTATTCGTTAGTCACTATGTGGCGCAGTGAGCGTTCAGCATAAAGTTTTATATTACAAAGGTCTCACAAGATAACCTTACCACGAATAATCAAAGGTAACTTATTGTCATAAGACTTAAAACAGTAGAAAAAATGGAGCCGTCAGAGCGGTCCAACAGCACTAATCAAGCAGCTAAGCCTTACGGTTGCTATTCACAGGTAAATAGGAATTTATGTTGTTGTTTTTTTCATATATGCACAACGGCACAGTTAGTTTACAATGTGTGTGTGTGTGTATGTGTCAGTTTATTTATTTCTTGGATATCAAACACCAAATATTAAGAGTAATTGAGTTATTTCATATATCATGTCAAAATATAGTCAAGTTAACTATGGTTAAATTACAATATAATAACAGCTTTGGTAATATATTATAAAATAATATACATAAGTTCTGGAAATTTTTAAAAAATGACAATATTGGTTCATTCAGTTGTACTTAAGAATATTTCATCCTTCAAGTTCAAGTATAACTTGAAACTATACTTTTAGTAGAGTTACAAAGTGTATATTAAATTATTAGATTTAGTTTGTGACTTGCATGAGCCAGCAGGTGGCTAGGCGGTAAGTCAGTGAGCTTACAACAGTAAAAATTGGTTTTGATACCTAAGGTTGGCAGAGTACAAATAGCCAGTTGTGGGGCTTTGTGCTCTATGGTAAACAAACAAACTTACTTGTAGGCCCTGACGATATGAAATGCTTCTGTAATATAATAATAATAAAACAGGCTTTTTATGAATAGCTGTTTTCTAGCTCTAAGAGTACGCTGCGAATTATAACGTATCTATTACGTTGCAATTTTTCATTATGGCCTGTCTGTGATAATGAAACTGAAACCTCTTTTTCCCCGCATTATTTTCAGTGTAAAATTGTATATGAATTCTTAGTTTTGTACGTGTAAACATCCTAGAACATGATTATTAGACAACTCCTAATTTTGTTCAGTATTTTAGAAAATGAACTGACGAAACTATTTCTTTGACTATATTATTTTTTTTATCATTGAAACTAACTCACCGTGACATCATTTTAAGAATATCAAATTATAAATTTAAAACTTAATCAAAATCACAATTCAGTTCACCATAATTTACCGCTGCGAATACTCATTTTTATCAACTAGATTTTCTGAACTTAGACACGAAAGCATGGATTAGTGTTAATATACATCTTATTAACTCACATTAAGAAACAAACCCATATCTTGAACAGCTAGAAACTGTAGTCATGAGTCTTTACTTGGGTTTGGTTGAGAAGATACAAATATGAAGAAAACACTAAAGTTAATTCTAGTTGGAAAGCTGAGTTGCCAGAAATTATCTTTCAGAACGACATAATGTGAATATGTGCGTGTATCTAAATAACTTTACTGTGAAGTAGTATTATTTACAGTCTACTGAGTTTTCAGTTATTTGTTTATTTATTGTTTAACATAAAGCTACACAATGGGTTATCAGTGCTGTGCCCACCACGGGTATCTAAATCCGGTTTTTAGTGTTATAAGCCTTCAGATTTACTTCTGAGCCATTGGGGTAGCCTTTATATTCTAACTTCGTGATTTCAACTCAAAACAAAATATGAGAAATTAAAACTATGCTTAAAATTGTGACTAACAAATAACCAACTCAAAAATTAATAAAAAAAATATATCGGCCCATTGTTAGGCTAAGTACATTCTATACAGTTGAATTGTTTGTTATTTTAAATGTATATTGATAAAGGGGTACAAAAATAACGCATGATAAAAATTATCAAGCTGACACAACTAGAACGTTCAGATTGAGATCATTATCATGCATAAAAACACGTATACTAAGAATAGGATATTCGAGAAAAATTGCCACTACATGAATAGATAAAGCTACCCGAGGCTTATCTGCGCTAGCCGTCCCTAATTCTGAACTGATACACTAGAGGGAAGACAATTAGTGAACAGCACTAGCGTAATTTTTTGGAATTTTCTAATCTAATAGTAGGATTTGATCATTACACTTATAGAACACCCGCAGCCACAAAGTATAGAGCGTAATTTGTTTTTTGTTTTTTTCTTGTAGCAACGGTACGCGAACCGTGGAGCCTTGGCCATGGCTAGCTCTGCATAAATAAAAATGTTGGGTACAGGTTTTAAATAAGAAATTAGAATTTTCAGTCTGAACTTTTTTTTTTGCGACAACAGTACACGAACCGTGAACCCTCGGATCTATCATGTTAACCACACCAAGCCCTACATAAACATAAATGATAAATAGGAAATTAAAAATGAAATTTCAACCTGAACGGAATTTTATGGACATGTGGGCTAAACGGTTACGTTAGATATCTCTCAGGTTCGGGTATAGCCCTCCTTAATTTTGAGCTGTTAATCAGAAGGAAAGAAGTCAGCAGTACCCACCGCCACAAGGGCTTTGTCCGGCCCTTTGAACCGAATAATAGAATTGTCAGCCATTTTCATGAAGCGGCCACAACTTAATATGTAGAGCGTTTTTAGTCGCATCATTTGTCAAACCGAGGACTCTTCGATCCAGAGTTGAGCACACTAACATTAGGCCACATTATACAGAAAATAAAAGGAGAAGATATAAATACTCATTTTGTCATCAAAGATTAATTCTAATAAACATATCTTGCATGAACATAAACAAAAAATTCAAATCTGTGGGTTACTGTGAATCTAGAAGGGTGTGATATTGCAAGTAAAACTTCCAGTTAAATCTAGGAGAATATGACAATACCTACATGTAAATACACCATACTATTAATAGTTTGTGTGGACTTTCACTAAACTATATGTTCCATGACTTACTTATGTTCAGGAGACAGAGCGAGCTTTCAAGATAACATCCACCTTTAAAAATGAATTACAGGGCATAATTTCTGGTCTAGTTTTATCTACAAGGTTACTTGTAATTTTTATTGATTATTCACTTACTCCCAGCGCTCTGTGGTGCACCGACATTCTCTTGCTATGACTTATTAACATTGACAGTCCTAGTAATGGTAAAATGTCAGTAAATTCACAGCAGCTAGTTTTAATTTTAACTTAATTATTGAACATAATGCGATGTATTTTTTATTATTCAAAGAATCAGATCATTTCTCGTCAGAATTACTCATACGTGCATTCCTAAAGTTGAACTTGAAATCAAGAGGTAATGATATGGACTTCCCATCACAGTTCTTATATTTATTGTCCACCTGTAAATAGAAATGGTTAGCTTTATGAAACAGCATCTTTGACTCCTTTGGTAATTTTTGGTTTAAAATGTTTCATTTCATATCATCTTCACCTTTGCTATTGACATTTTTCTTATATGATACGTATTAATGTTTCGATTGGCATGACCTGCAACAATTAACCATAAAATATGAAATAATTTTGAAAAAGTTTCAAAGAATCGAACTCGCTAGTCTATTGTTTGAATGTCAAAATACCTTTTTATTATCAGTTGATCCAGTAGAAAAGACAACATTGATTCACACAAGTGACAGCCATGTTACAAAGTAGCCTCCCCCTCTCAGACTACTATGAGCTACACGAAATTTGGCTCAGAAGGGAGTATTGTGAACACTCTATGAATGTAAAGTAATGCATTTGATATGCACCAGCTACTTTGAAACAAACCTAAAGAACCTATGAATAATTATAGAAGGCCTTCCTTTTATTAGACTGAAACTAACATTTAAAAGATATGATTCCAAATAAGAAATATATAGAATTTTTGGAAATTCGTAAAAGGAAGTTCGTAAGAGCAATGCCCACTGTAAATTGTCATTTTGCAAGCCTTTTATCATCAGACGCATTTAACAAAGGGACTCCAGTAGAGGCCACTACTGAACAGAATGAAGCACTGTTGGTTATTTCTATAATTGATTCGTTGTGCATTGGAAGATGTACAATTTGCGGACCCGTACATATCGTAGAAGAACTAAGCAAATAGCACTGGCAGTGCCATGATTATCAGTTTTACTATAGTCTAATTACTAATTAGTTTCTATTTATTATTATTATTACTATTATACACTAACAAGTTTTGACTTACAAAACGTAGAATATAAACTAATTGGTAATTCGTATCGAATAATAATAATAAATTTGTGAAAAGCATTTAAACATTTGTAGGGCCTTGAGGAATGGTAACGGAAGGCTTGTTTAATTGAACAGGCTACTGCATATGTTGATTAGGATAAAGGTGTGTATTTGATATATTTGGATTTGTAAGAAGGTATTTGACAATATTTCGCATAAAAGACTTGATAAAAAATTACCTCTGTGGGTGTGGGGGATAAGTTGGCTCGTTGGATCGAAAGATGGCTAGAGGAAAGAAAAGAGAGGATTGTAATAAATGGAGATCAATCTGAGTTAATCTCACAAGTGGGACACCTCATAGCTCAGTGTTGGGGTCTTTGCTCTTGAGTGTAGCTGGTTGTGAGAAGAATGCTTTTTACAAGATGGTTTAGATCATTTGTTTAGTTGGGAAGTAACTAGCAGGTGACTTTTAATTAGGATAAATATAAGGTAATGCAAGCGAGTTATCATCATTTAAATTATAAGCTTAATTCTTATGAGATTAATCTTAAGAATGTTATGGAAGAAAAAGGCCTTGTTGTAGTGGTTGATCAGTCTCTTAAGCCATCCAAGTAGTGTGCTGTTGCTAGTGGTAGGGCAAATATGGTTTTGGGTTGTATTAGCAGAAATATTGTATACAAGTCTAAATATGTTATAATTTCATTTTAAAGGTCCTGGTTAAGTCTAATTTGGAGTATTGTGTTCAATCTTGCATTCCTTACCTTGAGAATGACATAAATTGTTGGAAAGGGTCCAAATGAGAGCTACTTTTGAGAGATTGAAAGGTTGTCTTACAAGCACAGTTTCATATCTGTGAAAATGTTTTATCTTAAAAATAAAGTTAGAGGGGATCTAATTAACGTGTTCATTATTATTAAGGGAATTGGAGGTATCGATGGATCTTTTTTTTTCGTAGTTAATGGAGAGAATGGTAAAACAAGGGGACACAAATATACATTTTGGGCAAGGTATGAGTCATCTTCAACTTGGGCAGTTTTAGTTTACTAAAAGAGTGTTTTCCTTTGGAATGGGTTTTTTTATATATGGTGGATGCAGTAAATTTAAGACAGTTTTCGGGAAGACTCAGTAAAGATTTATCTGATCAGGACTGGATTTCAGTATGTTTTTTTCTTTGTTTGTTTGTTGTTATTGTTATTTAAGTAAGTGGAGCAGCCTCGGTGGACCAATAGGCCCTTTGTTGGCCTTAAACGTTATTTTATGTTAGGTGGCTGTATAGGTTGCCGATTGTGACGATTGATATCTGATAAATAAAACAGGCACAAAGTGACTCTGTACCTAAAAGTAGGTCGAAGTGATTGTATAAATGTGAACAATTTGCCTGATGAAATTGGATGTGGTTTTGGTGTCATCCAGCAGTCTAAAACACTCACTCTATTTATATTAAATTTGCCCCTACCTTATGTAATGATAAACAGGTTCTACTAACCGTAATAGATAAACTGGAACTTGTAAAGTGTATGAAGTGAAACTTTGAAGTCTTAGTCGTGCAAATGCTTGTCGGTAGACAATACTTTTAATACAGCGCTCTTTTGACAGGCTAATATTTTTCATGTTTCTTGCAATCTGATAATGTAAATGTTTCGTTAATAGGTAATGAAACAGACACTTTATATGCTGACTCAAAATACTGCACTGTTTTGTTGTTGTTGTTTTTTACTTGTTTTTCAGCCAATGAGTGGACACCTTTCTGACGATTTTCTTCGAATCAGTGCAAACAGCCAGCAACAGCAGAATACGCAAGCACAATTACATCATCAACAATTTTCCTCTAGTGAAAGATTTTATCCTTCGAATATAACTGAAAGATTGACTATAACAGTGATTAAGGTAAAATAGTTTTTCTTCTGTCTTCAGTATAAATTACAAAATCATATAAAAAGTAACCATGTGTCAAATTATATAGAGCTCTTTTTATCCATAACAGTGCATACACCTAGTGAAAAACTTTACTATTAAATATAACAAGGAATGTAAAAAGTTATTCATCTGTCTTCAGTTATAAATTCTAAAGTGATGTCATATATAGCCATATATATATAAAATTATATTAAACAGTACAGGGAACATTTTGGTTTTCACAGCATTATTATTATGCTTGACTAGAACATTTCCATACTGATTCATCTAGTTGAAAAAAGTATTAATCATATATACTAACGTATCATAATTACCAACTTTATCACATGTTTATCCCTACAAAGATATTATGTCACAACCAAGTAACACGTTACACGTATTGCATTTCAACATCTCAATCACAGAAGTTAAGATTGATATGTTACTCCAAATCTTTATAGATTCATCGTCCCTGACTTGCCACGTGTCTCATACAAACTCTTTGGTTATTCAACTAAACAATGATAAAAATGACTCGTTATTGTATTTTATGTAAATTATATTGGTAATAATATTGATGTTAAAGAAATATGTCACGTTGTGTTTTAGGCAAAGCTGAATAAGAACTATGGAGTTGCGAGGATGCATCCATATGTTAAACTCCATGTTGGGCATACCATATATGAAACACCAACTAGCTATTTTGGAGCAAAAACTCCCCATTGGAATAAGATAATTTACTGGTAAGCTAAGATAACCATCGATCTTCATCAGTTTGAAAACTTAAAACATGTTTTTGTATCTATCAAAGCCCATGAAAATCTTGTCTCAAAGCAGTATCTTTATACAGTATTTTAATAATTTAATTCTATCAAAATATCTAACTACAAAGCTTGAAACAACTGCATAAACTACCAGTTTTTACAGGAATGTTTTCTTAATCAGGAAGAGTACAGATAATTTAAGCTAGGTCTGTATCAGATACTATTGTTAATAAATTACCTAACAGATTATCATGTAAATTCTTATTACTATTTACTAGTTATCTACCAACAGGAGTGACATCTTTGTACCTTGAAGTATTTGATGAGGTAAGTATTTTATAATGCTTGTGCTTTTCAAAATAAACTGGAATAATGTTAACACAACTGAAACTTTTCCTACACGGTGTTAATGTCTTTGTAAACTTAAATCAGACTAGATATTAGTTGTAAAGTAGTTTCATTCCTGCCTGTACACATGTGATAAAAATCTTAAGCATACTATTTTGTTACAATTAACATTTTTTATTATAAGTTTTCCAAATTAACTTCAAAATCAATAACATTTAAAATTAGCAGCAAAACTTTTAATGAAGACTCATGGAAATAGAGCTCTAATAGTGTCAAAGGTTAAAAATAGATTTATTAGAATACCTAGAAGATCTATATATTGCATTACAATATATGCAACTAGAGTTACCGTATTTTCGGAATATAAGACGCGCCCTTATATTGAAGACAAAGTTTTGGGGAAAAAAGCTACAGTCGCATTT